CTCTAAGAAAGAGCAATCTGACATTTTGAAACTAGATCTTCAAGAAGGGAAGCTGCCCGAGCCACACACATTTGTAAGAATGGGTCAGCCAGAAGTGGAACTCTCCCCTTAACGGCAATCCACTGTAGTCCACTCCGAACAGTGATCCAAGAGGAAATAATCGCAGGACATGAGAAGAATAACTGTATGATTGTGCAAAATTTATTTAAAAAGAACATGATCCATCAAGCCTTGTACAAAACACACATTTCAAAGAGCTTATCAAGCTTTTCCACCATTTAGTAAAAGCCCACTTCCTGTAACTCCAGCCTGCATCCCAGTGAAAGGGGCTCCGGATCGTGCTCTTCCTGGAGGAGATTTGTTAGTAAATCAGTACTAAGTCCTGAGGGCCAGTACTAAGATCATCTTTTCACAGCACATTGCTTTTGTTAATACTGAATTGTTGCACACGGCAGCAATTTTACATGATGTTTCATCAAGCAGTTTCTGCGTCACTGTAAATGAATGGCAACTTCCATTTTGCTGAGGCTGAAACAACATTTACTGTATCCAGCCCGCCTTACTGCTAACTGCTTTGTCCAATATAGAGTCGTGGGAGAACAGGAGCCTATCCCAGTAAGGGAAACCATATCAGTTATGTATAGGAGAGAACGTGGTCTTCAATGTCCTTTATACCTTCGAAGTACATATTGCACACAGAAAAGCACTATACATCGGCTCCAGTTCACTATTACATGACTTTTCAGTCAGAAGCTAAATGGAAAGGTGGTTCACCCTAACCTGACCCACTGCCTTGCCTGTTCCCAGAAGTTATAAAAAGGTCACCTCTCTTCCATAACTTTGCAACCATAAGCTGCAATAATGCCCTATTCTGTCCCACTGTCAGCTGTTGGTTCCACAGAGAACACTACCTGTGCAGCAACAAGGAAGTAGCTGAATGTGACAGTGAAAAAGAGTTTATTTTCATCACTCCTTTCACAGCGTCAGAGGAGATACAGGCTTGGGTTAGAAGCAAAATGAGGCTTAGACTCAGTGCTGATTGAGTTCTAATTCTGATAATTATAACAATAACAATTCTGCTAAACTGTAATATCTGTGGTGTAACGTCAAACACTTAAGTTTGCCCCTTGCCATTTTTCTGCGGGATTCTTACACAGTTAGATCCTGTGTTCTCAGCTGTTCCCGGTTAGAAACTGAATCAGGTAAAAAAAAAAAATCAAACTTCAGCGTTGCTCCTTTCATTTTGCTTGATGAGCTTCAATTCAATTAATCGCTAATTGCTCGATTAATTTTACTTCGTCTTAACTTCCTTCTCTTTCTCCTGTTTTGCTCCAGAAGACCAGGTCTCTAGAAAAGAAAGGAATAAACAAAATATCAGGATTGTGGAGACAAAGTCATTGTTTGTCAAATGTCCGAAAGGAATCACTGCAGGATGTAAATTTCACAAGTGACTGCTGGAAAGCTTCAGTCACAATCTCGGTGACAATGTTTGCACTGTAAAACGTTTTATTTTTGCAGTTCGAGGGTGGTACTGCTGGTAGTCATCACAAGGAGACCACTCTAAAGAGAGATTAAAGGCTGCGATATGATTGGGGCCCCATGATGTTGCCTTGACTGCCTAGTTCTCCCTACCTGTGGGCAAAATGGTCAGTGTTGGGCATCTGTGGGCTGTCACCTTCAAATCAGCTACAATACTATATAATACAATAATTATATGCTGGTGGACTGTGCAATATAAATATAATAACAATAATAATAATAATAATAATAATACAAAACTAGTTTATATAACGCTTTTAAAGGTCAGTTCTCAAAGCGCTTTACAGAATGACAACAACAATAAAGAAAAAGAATACACAAGATAAATACACAGAGGAGACTGTGGATGGTGGTACTAAGTAAAGTAGGAAGAAGAGGGGTAAAGAATGGAAGCATTTCAGTAAAGGCTCTTCTAAAGAAGAAGGTTTTAAGTCTGGATTTGAAGGAGTTTAGAGAAGGTGACTCTCTGATATCCTTGGGCAGAGAGTTCCAGAGCTTGGGGGCATAATAGGAGAAGGTCCTGTCACCCATACAATGTAGACGGGCTTGGGGGACAGTAAGGAGACCAGAATTAGAAAAGCGAAGGTTGCGAGGTGGGGAGTAGGGCCATAATATAATAGTTCAGAGGTACTGAGGTGCCAAGCCATGCAGAGCCTTATAGGTGAGCACGAGGATTTTAAAGTCCACACGGAATTTGACAGGAAGCCAGTGCAAGGACTCCAGGATAGGAGTAATGTGATCACTTGCACTAGACCTGGTCAGGATTCTGGCAGCCGAATTTTGGACATACTGCAGTTTGTTCAGTGTGGATTTAGAAACCCCAGTGAGTAGAGCATTAGAGTAGCCAATTCAGGAGAAGACAAATGTGCTGATCAGCTTTTCAGCCAAAGTTACTGATAACACAGGGCGTAGTCTAGCGATATTTCTGAGGTGAAAAAAAGATGTTTTAACAATATGCTGCACATGTGGGTCGAATGTTAAGCCAGAATATCACCCCAAGGTTTTTCAATTTAGACTCAAGCTCAAGTACAGAACCATCCACAGGTAGGGTTACAGGACTGGCTTTACGAAGTTGATGCGGGGTGCAAATAAACATGACTTAAGTCTCGACCCAGTTGTCAATATATCTACAATACAATCTACAATATCTGCAATACATGTTCTTGGTGCACTTTTTATTTTTTGTAAATCTGTATTATTCCATTGTACTGTGCTCTGTTGAGTGTGCGTGGCTGCTGTTGCATCTATCTATACTCCTCCTCCCAGACCTTTCACACACTGAAATCACACACAACCGCTCAACTCTCAGCCCTTAAATACACCAAAATACCATTCTCAGCTCCCAGCATCCCCTAGACACCCCACAAGCCCCCAATATATTCTGTACAGACGTCGAGGCTCCCCATTCTAAACTCATGACACTCTGTTCACAGCCCTTACTACAATAACAGAACCCAATGGCACCAAGTGCCTCCATTAAGAGTCACAGGCTCTCCCTGCTGTGCGGCACTGATCCGACGCGAGCCCTCAGCTGTGTGCGTGCTCGGGGCCCGGCCCCTCTCCTCTCCCGGGGTGGGGTGGGGTGGGGGGGGGCGTACACACCTGCTGGCGGGAATGGAGTCAGAGTTTAGCGGATCGGGAGAAGGCTATACCCAGGAGCGCGGGCATGCTGTTGGCGGAGGTGAGCCAGCTGCCGCCATCCACCACCAGGCTGGCCCCCGTGACGTAGGAGGCGGCCCGGCTGGCCAGGTACAGCACGCCGTGGGCGATCTCCGTCTTGCTGCCCGCCCGCTGCAGGGGGACGGTCTGGAAGACCCCGCTGGACTGCGCCGCGGTGCCGCCTGGGGGACAGGGCAGCAGGAGGG